AAGTTCCACGTGACTCGCAAGAAGTTTTTACCTCGACCAAAGGCTTTCACAAACGATAAGCAGTGGTTGTTGGTAGAGAAGTTGTGTGCTTTTGAGCCGTCAGAGCGCATGAAGCTGTCGGATGCGATCGAGTGCATCCGCGAGTTTGCAGAAGAAGAGCGATTCCAGGAGCGTGTTCGAGAAATGAAGGAGGCGCCTGAAGAAATCGACTTCGGCATCAAATATCCTCCAAAACTGTCGAAATCCGCAATGGGAAGTGTGCATGCCTTGGCAAAGATGAAATCGCTCAGTCATGCCGTTCGACTGAGGCGAGAAAATGTAGACAGATCGGTCGCTGCAGCTTAACTTGTCAAGCAACTTCAATGTCACACCACGACTTGTGTACTCAACTTGGCCACGATTATTTTTACTTAAGTACCGAAATCAAGTCTTGGCTTCTCTGGGTTATTTCTCATTCAATAGTATCAGCGTTTGTGGCGGTTGCTGAGCAACCACCACACCTGGCAGGTACATGTACACTGTATCGTAGACATCTGTAAAAATATAAAGAGAAGCATCCCACTATCAGCATATACAACGCATGAGAATCATCCCACAATCATATTTGTGATTGCGGGATGCTTTCCTTTCATACGTCATAGATTTGAAAAGCAGACTAATCGCGAGTATATGTAGCCGAAACCCGAATACATCGGTAGAACCACCAGTGCATGTTAATCAGGTCCACGCATAATGTTGGGTGCTGTGTTAAAGTCTTCGCCCGTCTCATCTCGGTGACATCTTTATCAAAGTATTTTAATTTTTATTCATTCCTCGTCCTTATCCACAGTCTACTTCGTTCAGCATTCCTTCGTCTTCTGCAACCTCACGAGCACCTACAATGCTGTTTAGAAGTACTGGTTTTAACGCCTTCGTCGTCTCGTACTTCGGGATTTGCACTTCTGAAGTAACATACTCTTTGTCTTATTAATACTCAGTCAATACATGTGCCGGTGTGTGGATGCCTTAAGATGTGTCGTAGGTTCGATTATGGGATGCTTTTCTTTTTACGATGGTATCTCCCTACTGTATCTGTCTGGCGGTTGTCCCTGTCCATGGAACGCCGCAAAATCATCCCGCAATCACTGTATACGAAAAGCAGGCTACACAATTGTATAACAATTCTAATACATCGTCCAGTTGTGCTTTGTAGATAACGGTTATGGGACGATTGGATTGCTTTTATGGATCTAAAAACCTATATTAGTCATGATTGTAGTATGAGCCGTACGTATGATTTTTTCAAATTTTCACGATTTAAATTGAACCAGGTTTTTAAAGTAGTTTTTTTGGTTTCACAGGTTGTATAACCGTAAACAACAAATACCACAGCGCTCTCCTGGCCATTAGGCCTGGAGACTACGAACTCCGAAGCGTTCTCAAGATTAATATCCTACTTTTTCCCATTACGGGAAAAAATAGGATATTATCTTTAAGTAGTTGAAAGAGTCGAAGAGTAAACGACATTTTAACAAACCGTTTATTTAACCCAAATTTGTATCCGATAAAAGACAAGGAAAAGACGTTTTCACTTAGATTGATAAAAGCCTGGGAAAATGTCTACTATGTGAACATGTACAACACTAAGATTGTGTACAAGGCCAGTGCTATTCAACGCGATGCTCATGCCTGCTACAGGTCATAACAACGTGCTGTGGACTACGGTACGTTGTTATTCTGAGGTGGCAGCCCCAGCACACTTACCTGTTTCGATCCTCACTTTGCAATTTGCTTTTCTGTGCCCAAGCCTTCAAGTCCAACAACGAACTAGCCCCATGCGTCTCTCTCAATTTTTGGTGGTTGTTGCGGCGTCCTTCCTCTTCGCTAGCGAGACCATCGCTGTGACCATCGATTCGAACCAAGCCAAGATCTCCACGGTGGCGCACGGTGGACCGAACCAGCGACTTCTGAGGCGTTACAAAGAGCCTGTCGACGAAGAACCCGATGACCTCAATAACCTCCAAGATTTGGAGGAACGCGGAAAAACCACGATGCTTAAAGAATTGGCTGAAAGTTGGGGCAAGTCTTACGACGATATTATTAACAGTGTCATAACGCTCACACGCGATGAGAAAAGAGAGTGGATAGCTACCATCAACAAGGCGGTAGCCGCAAAGAGGAAAAAGCACCGGGACGCGCACAACGCGGCGTGGCGCGCGGAAAATGGAGTCGGTAGACGAGTGTAAGAAACCTCGCAGTGTCACCAGCTCCATTTAGACTGGTCGACCCCTGTCATACCCTTAAAACATTCATCGCACCAGGGACAAGCACGGAGAAGAATTCGGTCCAGTGCTTGCCGCCAGCAATGGCAATGAACAAGGAGTAGGCAACAACATATTTGAGTACGTAAGAAAAATTGAATGGTAGAACAACAATCCCGCAGTGTTGATGCATTAATTCGCACATAGAAATCATACATGCTAACTGCTGTGAAAGTGCCGTGTCTGAATGCAACTTGTGATCTTTGCCATTACGAGCGAATAAACGACCTCTAGAACCGCTATTCACTTTTCGATTTTGGTTTGTCGGTTGTTGATGATGGCGATGGTAGGAGATTTCTCTTCTCTCCATCAAACCACTCACTTCCGAGACAAATTCTCAACCCAATTTATTATCTGGTACTGGTACTTTTATCAAAGTCGCGAAGAACCTCCATATACATCGACGTCTTGAGGTATACAACTTAAAGTGGCAATGTACCTTGAGCTTCGTCTGGCACAGACGGCTGACAAGATGGCGTCATTTTCAAGCCCAAATGTATTCGTCCTATGCAACTACAGAACACGAGTACATTGACAGCTCAATAATAGTGACTCCTCGAACAACAAGTACTGACCACAGTCATCAACAACACATTGGACACACATGAAAACAACACCCACATGCACTTATCTACTTTGCGATGGACGCGGCGATGGCCGAATACATAGTGGAATTGACGCTAACGAGCGAGCGCCGCACCTGGTACAGTTTTTATCGATGATGGCGCCGGCTACTAAGCTTATATGGAGGGCAACTGTCAACTTAACAAAGCCCATTTCTGAGCAAAACACACAATTGGTCGTGCATATCGCATACGTGGGAGCACAAGTTGTGCTGCACAACACGATGCCTTGCACACCAAACGCTGGTACAGACGCATACTGTACCTCAATCGTAATAAGTCAGACACTCCTTAAAATCGGTACTTAAAATTTAAAAGAGGAAATGTACCGCGTTTTAAGTTGCAAGAGCTGTGACGTTTTGGTCTGTTAGTGATGATCTTACCTCACTGGGGATCTTGACAAGAACATCTTGTTCGGTTGATCTGGATCTCACCTGATGTAAACCATTCCTGTAAACAATGGGTAGTCCACCGCACGCAAGGTGTGAAAATGTTCTCTCAGCCCTTCAGGCTGAGAGTATACAGTCCTTGTGGCATTACCAGCCACTCTCAAAGCATACCGCTTGAAGTGCTTACCTTCGTGAGGGGGATATCGTTCTCACGCATAAGGATCTGATAGAACCCGTCTCTCAGATCAAGAGCGCTGTAGATGGTGCTCTTGGACATCGAATCGATGATGACATTTTTTGGGGGGTATCGACGTCTGTGCCGGTATCGTCGCATCGTTCAACTTGTTGCACGCATGAACGATGCGCCATCGACCCTGTGGCTTCTTGACACAGCACGTTGGTGCGCTGTGCGGGGACTTTGATTCCCGCACTTGTCCTGTCTTGCGACGACTTTCGAAGAAGTCGTCGGTTGCCTTCACTTGCTCTCGCGGCAGTGGCCGCTGCCGCGTCACGCAATACTTCGTCCCCGACACGAGATCAATCTCGTGCTGTATTCACTTGTCCTGCGGAAGGTCCACAGGGATCTCATTCGGAAGCACGTCCTTGTGCTCTCGCAGAATCTCGTAATAGGGACTAGACTTCAGTGAGTCCCAACTCTGCACCTCGAAGCGTTCCTTCTTGGTCTTGGCACTGAGAGTATCCTCACTCTCAGTGGCGTTTCCAGCGAAGAGTTGCCTCAACTCTTCTGCTTCGCTTGTCATTCTTTCGCGATCCGAAAGAATGCATAGCTGTTCGATGCGTACATCTAACAGGTCCTTCGCGAAGCTCTTCCAGCTCATGACTGGAAGTGAGATTCACTCCGATGTATCAGTCGGAGGGTTCTCCAACTCCATCTTCTTGTACTGATA